AATAATATCAATTACCTATATACATATTATCTGTTATAATTTCAATGGATTTTTATTTTTCTGTTTAAACAACCCATTTCGTATTTACAAAATAACGAAACTGTTATGTGATTAACATACTTAATTTGGTCAAGAAAATATATTATTTATATGTGTATCTATTTTTTTACTTCAAAGATAAAATTCAAAATATCTATTGAATTATTACTTAAATAAGTTTAGAAAAAATAAATTTATAATTACAATACAGATAAAATCTAATTTAATCAGTAAAAAAATATACATAAATGAAAACTTGTTTTAAAAATTGTATATGTCTAGCAGTCTAGCACATTTCGCACTCTTCTTAATAAACACAGGAACATTTTATAACAAGTCTCATGTCCCTATATATTATAAGATCATTATTCATTCAGGCATGCTCTTACCACTATATGTTTATTTTATCCAGTATTATTCTTGGCAATTTATTTCCTTCATAATATTATGTTTAATATTTTTTTTTTTATTTATACATTTTGCTTTTTAAGCCTTATAGGCTTCTACTTATTAGTGATATGTTATTTAAATATTTTGTTTGCTTTATTAATTATTATTTATATAATTTGTATGTTCTAAATAAAATTGGAATTATTATTAATGTCTTTTACTACTTTTATTATTATTTTATTTATCATAGAATCATACATGTGACTTAATTTTTTTTTTAATATAACAACAATTCAACAATTACACTTAATTGTCAATAATATGAATTACTTTTTGAATTTTAGATTAGCAATATTTTTGTCTATGCATTACAACTAAAAGTAAAACAAATCATTTTKAATTAAATATATTAATTGTTTTATTAGTGGTTTTGAATGCTATTTGTCAAGTCTTATTTTTGCAATAATTAAAATTAACCACTGTTTTTGCTTTTACTGACAAACGTTATAGAAAATCTTATGTTACAAGTAGGAAAATCAATAATCATTTAAACGTCTAAATGTTTTAACACATTCACTGAATATTTTAATTTAAAATACATATATTTTTTTTTTATAAAAGCTTTATGTTTTATTTAATTCACATTCAAGAAAAAAACCTAGAAAAATAAGTTATTCCCATAAAAATGGGCAYCTATCACTGTTACTTAAATATGTAATTCATGTATAGGTATTTAAATATTTTCTAACAAATTTCGTATGTGAGTTATATCTATTAAGTTTAGCGAATGTGTTAAAACACAATAAGTAAAGGTAGCTTCAATGCGAATGCCATTAAAAAGTACAAAATATTTATTTGATTTGTATGTCATTATAGCTTTACTTATATTAATTTTATCTGTTTATAGATGTTTTTCGTGGTTCACTTGGCCAGTGTTTCATTGAATAAAAAAACTCAAATTTATCGTATTGTGTGACCACCTTATAATTACTTATTCATATATCATTTTATTATACCTGTGATAAAGTTTATATTTTAATGTGTACCTATTATTTTAATTTTTTAATTTTACTTCAATTATTGTATGGAATCTTTCTCATTAGTACTTAATAATTATTATAGATGATGAGGTTGAATAAATATAAAATAATTTAATTAAAAATGTATTTTTTTTAAATTATCACAAAAACCTATCATTTTTAAGCTCATTCTTAATAACCGTAATCCGTCAGTACATAATAAGTATGATTACTTTGATCTTAAGCTTCTTTCTTGCTTTCTTGGTTGATTCCTAAAAAACTATAATTTTCAAAGTGATTCAATTAGTATATAATATGTATAATCATAATAAATAATAATCCATCTCTGGGACAAAGAGATCAGACTTTTCACGAAGAGATGATGCTTTTTCGTAATCAAATCTTTTTTWAAATAAATTAAATTAAATWAATTGAAATTTTGCAAACTTTCGTAAATAAATGGTTTGTTTTGTTTTAAGTTTTTTTTCTGATTAAAATATTGTAAAAATGGAAAATACTTCATGATAAACTATTGTAGAATATCACGATACAAATACTTTGATACAATTAYGACATGGATCTATCTATATCTAGTGACTTATAGAAATAAAAATAATATAATATGCAACAATCAYGGTGACTAAACGCAATCGATGAAACGTGTAAAAATATGTATAACTCGTGGAATTCTTAGATAGGTTGATGCATGATTAGCTCTAAAATTGATAATGTGGTTACTAAAATATATTAAATGCAGATGGTTGGATTTGGGGGTATTACAATTTTTGCGAAACCGTAAAAATAAAAAATAAAAATAGTATTTATAAACGTGAAATTTACTTACATATTATAATATGGTATGTACCTACTTACATAGTGCGTAGGTACACGTGTATTTAGTCATTAGACAATGACGTATTATAAACTGTTGTAGAYAAAGTGTATAATGTTGTGTGCTTTGTCTCATGAGAGAACTTACAATTTTAATCATGTGAAATAGTGAGAAATAATAATTAGACTGGCTGTCTGTCTGGCCATTTAATTGTCTACACTCAACAAATGTTAGGTAGCCACCGCAGCATTGTTTCTACAGAATAAATAATTGATGACATGTGAGYATCAGCGGATGTCAGTAAATGGATGTAAAGTACCTAGTTTTTGTTAGGTGTTCTGTTTGTTCTTGGACAATGTTTATCATTATGCAAATCATAATAAATTGTCATTTTTAGTATTACCTAATATAATTTATCACGAGAATAGATCTCAAATATTTCGATGTATGTATTACACTATAACACCGACCTACACTATTCTAGGAGTCAAATCTTCATCGAATTTATAAAATGCACAGTGTTTATTAGCCAAAGTTTTGTAAATTAGGTAAGTTTATTGAATCAAMAAAAATTCATAATACATTTATGAAGTATAATGCATTAAAGACAGTAAACAATATCAACAATACTAGTCTAAATAAATCACTACTAAGTTYTAAACTTCATAAATTGCTTAAATAGATTTTATATATTAAATAAAAAATACTTTGGTACAATATGGTGTATCGTGCATTAAAAAAATAAAGGAAACAAATTCAAAACGTACCAAGAACAGTAAATTATCACCAACATCATTTTACATTTACATCTGCAGAAGTGATGAAAATGTACATGGATATAGCTTACATTGCATCTGTTATCTAAAAATGATTAGTACTTGATCTCGTTTTTATACATATATATTTATATATAAAAAAAAAAAAGTGAATATATTAAATTATTATACAACACCCCAAAGAAGAAGAATCTAAATAAATGCAATAAAAGGTTCTGGAAACATAATTTGGTTGACCTTATTAGCTCGTTACCATTGACTTTGATTACATTTATTAAGATATGAGTGACATCAATATTTTCCAGTCATGCGTTCATTAGTATCTACGTAGACGTGCTACAATACCAACAGAAAAAGTCCATTTTTATATTGAATTTTGAAAATAATTGGATTTATTGATACAACGACATATATTTTACAGATAGCTAGGTAGTAAATTAAGTCAAGTTAGTATTTTCAGTCAGTTAACGATGCCAATGTATCTAAAATTGTATTCAAATATTTGTTCTAAATGGATTATTAATTATTATTTAACATTTCTTATTCGAATCGGGTAAACGATAAAAGCTAATGAAAAAGTTTAAGTTTACATTTCTCTGTTCAAAATATTATACACGTATAGCAAAGAGATAACTTCACATCGTTACATTTTAAATCAAAACCATTGTTTTATCCTCTTATATGTTTTTATGCGTTATATATCTGTAATTCATTAAATGTCCTGCATGCTTTGGATTAATTTTAATGTTATCTACTAAAATTTAAAATACAAATTATATTAAGAAAAACTATAACATAAACATCGATAGAATACTTTAAATTTAGTTTCTAATTATTCATAAATTAGATCACTATTKAATATAACGCTTARTTATTTAAATAATACATATTATAAAAATATAACAAGAAAACAAGAAAAATCGTGAAATGAAAAAAATCACATGGGTAGCATTGTAATAGGTTTTCCGCAACCAATATCATTATTCATTATACTTCATCAACATCATATAAATACGAATAATGGACGGCGCATCGGGTAGGCAATTTAGAGTCACTATTATTAATATGCGGGCGCCAAGCAGTGAAGCGAAATGCGCTCACGACTATTACGTAAAAAAGTAAATAATATATAATATTAGGATGGAAAATCGCAGTACTATACGGTGGAAATATGTAAGACACAGGATACAGAAAAGTGGCTTGYTGTGAGGAATCTTCGTATTTTTTACAAACGTTATTATGGTCGTGCTTTCGTGCGGTCTATTAGTTTTCTTGGTTGATGATCAATGAGACAGGAAATAAGGAGTTAAGTCTCACACGACTGGTTATAACACTGCTCTCTGTTGACATTATGCCAGTCGTTTGGGAGATTTCAAATCTACAATTGTTTGTTATAACGGCCGAGAGGATCGGTATAAACTTGACACTATAAAGTATCATCAATGTTTGGTTACAATGGATTCCGTGATAATTCTATCAGAAAATTTACTCGCGAGAGTCATGTAAACTTCTTTGATATTGTCTGTCTTCAATAATAATATTTTGTATTCAAATAAAAACTATATACCTATGTGTATTTTAAAATGTACTTTTATTTTTGAATTATTATAAGCTATATTAATTAAAACCAATAAACAGTGTTTGTCAGTATATATAAATATTATAAATAGTATAGAATCCTAAAAATTAATTTATCCAATTATTGACAATTTTCAATTTTATTATTATTGTCGTTATTACTGAATGCTCATATTTTTTCCTCTTGTAACARCTGTAYAAATTATTACCTTTGAAATCTAAATATTAATTTTACATTTTATACTACATATTTTAACAATGATGATCTACTTTTTCTCAAACGATTGTGGTGCGGAATTCATAGTCGTTTCAATGTTCGTGAGTTTTAATGATTCTCATAGTACATAATGTTACCTCAACAGACAACAGTAATAGTCATAATGTCATAACATTCTCAAATACCTACCAAACGAGTATGCGAATAACAGTATAGTTAATCATCCTTTCAACACAACCTTATCACACAAGGTCCTGCGTAGGGTTTCAAAATGTTTGCATTTAAAACAAAGGCTATTTGACAGAGAATTGTCAGACGTTGACGTTTTGTTTGAATGGGATTCCACGCGATGGCTGTTGAAACTAATCCTTGACAATGCGGGTCAATGCTGATTTAAAAACGCATGCACCCTCATTTTATTTAGAATATTATTATATACGGGTGTGTATTTAGCCTGTGGTACTTCCACTTTTTAAACACCAAGGAAAAATATATTATAYAGTATTTTTATTATTACATTCTCAATCCCTTTGTAATTTAAAAAAATAAATAGGCTTTCATCTAAATTCAATATAGCGATGGTTTGGATGATATGAATTCCGATTTGAAGTTTATTACCGTAAGTACCTACTAAGTAAATCTTTTTTTTTTCATACATTACCAATATATTATTTTATTAACCAATTAGTGTTAATTTTATTTAGCTATTAAAATAAAAATGATTATTAATATATGAAATAACTATTAATACATGATACTTAAATTGTACTATATTTAAATCATTAGTTATATGTGTAACGTGTTGTAAATTAAAAAAACACATTTCGCGAATAATTTTTTACAATCGTAGAACTATTTTGTACTATTTATTGTGTTTTAAAAAAATACATTGCATGATGATAGCACTGTCAACTGTGTGATTAAAGTTTAAATTTTAAAAAATTCGTCAAAATCACGAATAGGTATTGACAAATTATTTTTTAGTTAAAAATTTATAGAATTTTTGATTATAAAGGTAGCTAAGACTTGAATGTATAATAAAAAGTCACAAGGTTCTCCATAATAGTTTTTATAGAAATTTAAATTCTAAAATACATATTTACAATTTTTTTTTCACAAGCAATTGAGGTTCAAACTTTTATAAATTATAATGATTTTATTCTTTCAATGATTTTAGTTGCACGTGTTTGCTGGAATTCAAGAAATTTTAATCGTTAAGTCTCGAAACTTTTCGTCATTACCATGCACACCACTAACCTTGTTAAAAATACATATTATATCACACTGTTCTATAGTATTAAAAAGTTATATTGACTTATTAATAGTTGAAAACAATCATAGGTTATATAGGATATATAATAATGTGACAATAATCATATTATATGGATTATATGCTGCCACTGCCACTGCCACTGCATTATGACTGCTCTAAATATTCAACACCTATTTACTGAATAAATATTATTTTTTCCCTTTTAATTTTTAATTTTAGGGGCACTGAGGAATCTCGTGACAGTATTTGCGCTTAATTTTAAATGTCTAGTTTTTTATATAGCACTAAAAATTAATATAGAAACTTATATTTAGAATATAAACTACAGAAACATTTTCACAGACATAATAGTTTTGAATATTTTATTCAGCTASTATATCTAGTGGTCCTGAGTTTTTAACGAGAGATCATTTTCAGCTTTCAAGAGTTATTTGCATTCTTCAATTGTTCTTGAACAATTAAATTATTTTCTGTTCTAAATATTGAAAACTCTTTGTTAGAAACTATTTCATGGATCGAATGTAATGAGAATGACCAATTTTCAAAACAAAAGTCAAGAAAACCTTGTTGTTAAAAAAATGTAATTATATTTTATTATATAACGAGTTCATAGTGTTGTATAATGTCTTTAACGACAAATTTAAGTTATTTACCAATAATTTATATTAAAATTATAAATAAATTATTGGTTTGATATAGCTGTTTTTATTAAGTTATATATTATGCTAACGGGCTTACCAGTTTGACAGTTAGATTTTGACAACCTTCTAGGAATTTTAAAGCTTAAATTAAAATGATTTTTGTATGTCATTATTTTTTTGTATTATTTTTTTTTTTCGTTGACATGTCAATTAAAGGACACTGAATAATATTTCAAAATATACTTTTTTTTATATAATACAAAGATATATTAAGCAATATAATACTATTATTTTAGTAATTTATTACATTGCTTATTATTATAGAATTTTTCTATTATAGTTTTTTTGAAGCAAAATCAATTTAGTTCATCTATTGAGTATTGTTTATATTATACTAATATATAATTATTGTTTTTGATATTTAAATTATCATTTATTATTTAAAGGAATAAAAAAAACCTATTCCAGGGTGCTACATTTTTTGTTCTACTTATTGTATATATTTATTTATAAAGAGCAGGATTTGTAATGTACATTGTAAAATAAACTACATTAAGAAAACAACTAAAGTTTTATGCAATATATTATGTGCTCACTATAGCATAAAATCTATACCCAATTGTAGTAGTAAGTTTTCAGTCAAAGTAAGAAAGTTCTATTTTAAATCTAAACTTTTTGTTAATAAGCAAGATAGTATAGTTATATATGTATCTACTTAGTACTTATACTAGTTTTTAAATTTACATATTTTTTGTTAGTCTAAAAACACAAAATATATTGTAAAACTTAAAATACAAGTTCTTTATATTTTTAATATATAATAATAACTAAACCATAATATGATCAACGCTTTAATTTTTATTTAAAAACTAATTGTTTTTTTTTTTTAAATTCAATAATTATAAACTTATTGAAATATAAGTCATGATAGTACTTAACCGTGTAAAATGTATGACATTTTAATCTATAACGATACCTTCGTAGAAAAACATGACATAAATAGTTATATTACATTTTAGATATGAAAAAAAATACAACCTTTACCTTTTTGAGACTTCGATGAATATATTTTTATTTATTTAATTAGATCATATAGTACTCAACTAATAACGGTATTGTCTTTTTAAACTAATAAATGTATTATTACATATTTTGTAAATATTATTATAATCTTGTGGCTGGATTAATAATTATTGTATCATTCAGTTAAATCAATAATATATGTAACAAYATATCTTTTATAATCTATTCATTTATAATCTAAAGGTAATAACAATAATAATATATTAATATAATATAATTAATAATTATTGTAATAATTTGTTTTTGGATAGAGATTTTGGTTTTGGTCGAATATAGGTAACTGTCATCATTGTATACAGCAGAAATCATTATTGGTTATAATTATTATTTCAACCTTAAAAACAGAGAAAAGAAAAATTAGGTATACATGTATATTGTATTCGTATTACGGTAACTTTAAACAACTAATTTCAATGATATTTGTAGGTACCTAATTTTAAGGAATGCTGTGTATTGGAGTGGTATCCTCCAAGCTTGTGGGTGAATCTTTTTCATTTGTGTACTTGGTCCTGTTCGTTCCAGGTTCTTGTAAATGCATTTTTTCTGGGTCAATCGAACGGGTTTCGTCATTTTCCAACATGAAGAGCACACCAAAGTTTAATTGCCGGATGTCGTAGTAAATAGATAGCGTTAACATGACACATACGAGCCCCACGACCAGGTAACCTATATATATGGATAGAAATGTCATTATCCGCACGGTTTATGATATATTAAGATATACATTTTGGATTTTATCGACATTTAATTTATTACCGGTTATCATTAGTTTGTAGAGAGGTCTGTACTTCTGGTCTGGCGCGTCGCCCGGGATGTAGTCTCCGAGACCAATGGTTGTGAGTGATATAAAACAATAGTACAATGAATCCATGTAGTTCCACTCGGGCTCCAAATATGTGAACATCGCCGCGGGAAGCAGTAGAAACAGAAATATCAACGTGCCGAGTATAGTGCCGAAATGTAACAACCGGATAGTAAACGGCGGATATAAATGTCCAAGACGGCTGTTGAGGAAGTGCAGGTACTTTGTCGTAGGTATCATCAACCGGTCGACCAGTGCAGTCAACAGCACCAGTGTCAAGGGTATACCGAAAAGCGCGTAGAGCATGCAAAACAACTTGCCTTCTTGAGATAGCGGAGTGACATGACCGTAACCTGGAATATAAAATATTTTCGACACGATAATTATGTACCTTCGTATAATGTACATTGTACATAATATGTAATAGAATCKACTGACTCAAGTAATTAACTATATTGTGTAACAAGTCTAGGTAGGAATTATTGGTATGTATTATAAATTCATGATGGAAATATGAATGGTAAAATATGCGACAATAAGCACAAAAATATGTAGTAAATGCATTAAAAAATGTGTACAAAATTGATTAACATTAATATAAWGACAAGAAACTGGGTCCGACCCAAGATCCATCGTATAATTCATGGTAGAAGCCATGTAAATTTCATTTTTTTGAAAGCAATACAATCGATAATTTATTCCCTAATTAAAAAATATTATTTTCAATTATAAAACACTTATAATTTCATATTGATTGTTAATCAGCATTTTAATTCTTGTCTTTATCGTGAAAAAGAAAGATTTAATTTATTTATCAAGCTTTTATAAAATATGCAAATTATTCACTCTATTAACTATTTATGCCTTATCTATGATAAAATGTTCCATCGTCTATGAAATCAGTTTGATTTGAAACGCCCACATTTCAAACCCTTGTAATCTTGCATACACTCATTTTATACATACATAATGCAAATGCGTATACGGGTATAATTCCGATTTCCTGCAGACATAATATAATTTATATTGTACATTTAAAAATAAACTATTTTTTTAAATTTAATTATTATGAATCTCATATAAGTATTGCATAAAAAAATTACATGAGAACAATATGTATTACATATATCTACCAATTTAATTAGGCCATAACTGTAAGTTAATAAACTAAGWCAGTAATTTGTATATAGGTTCTTGCTCTGTACAATATTAATATAAATTATATTACTAAGAAAATGATATTTTATACATTTTTTGGTTATTATTTTAACGTAAAACACTCTTTATCAGTTCAAAAACTATTATAAGGTCTGGAATATATATTTTTCGTCGTTTCCATTTTCTATGTGTCATACTTTTTTGTTGAAAACATATATTTGAATTTAATATTTTGAAGCAAACTGTAATGTATTTATGTCAGGGAATTTCGATACGATACGCAAATGTCAAATTTATAACGAGTATTCAGTTAGTGATAGTATTTATTTAAACTTAGCTCATCTAAATTGTAAATACATAAGCTATACAGTTATGAGTTCTAAACTAATAATCAAATCGATTCATTAAAAGTTTGATTTGCATGTATAATAATTAATAATSTTATAAAAAATATTTTGCATATTATGCAGTAGTATATTATGTAATTAAAAATGTAATATGTCATAAGAAAATCTTAAAAAATTTACCAAATAAAAATAGTAAAATATTTTTCTCTGAATGTGTTGTTTTACATTGCCATAAACAATAKTTTCAAAAATTAAATAGCTTTTGAAATGATGTATTTGTCGTTAAGATATAACCCATGTTATATAAAATCAGTGTAATAAATTTATTAACAACAATTTAAAGTAAAAAGATATCTCCTAATCACTGCAATCATTTTCAGGGAGTAAATATCGAATAAAGAGTAACAAAATGTCTTAATAGAAAAAAATKTTTAAAAAAAATTCATTTTTCTATGAGTTATCGATATTCTTATACTTACCTATAGTTGTTATTACGGTGCAAGCGAAAAATAAAGATTGGCCAAAACTCCAGTTTGGTTCTCCCGAAACATTTTTAGCTGCTGAAACCCCTCTGTTACTAGCAGATAAAACTTCTTTTATAAAATTCTCCATTGAGTCATCTGAAAGGAACAACAAATTGATTAAATCAAGCCATTTGAATACTTWACAAATATATATTATTAGGTCCCATGGTTTTTGTAGTTTTTTTTTTCAAGTGAGATGAGTACGTTAGCAACTACGTATATTGACTACATCGACTGAATAAATTCCATTAAGCTACAAGGGTAAAAAGTTTTAAAAACTCTGTAAACGTACATCAATACTTCAGAATTACAACAGTGTATCTATCTCACAAACTTTTAATTTGAATGATAATATTAAGATAATATAATAACGGCTTCGGTAGTAATATAAACTTTGTTAGTAAAAAAATGATGGATTATAGATAATTACCTACACTGCTATTGTGCGATCCATTTTTTCGGTAAGTATAGCACTAAAACTAATAGTTAAATTTAATATTCTGTTAATGCATTTCATTAAAAGTACTTTATTGCAAGTCCATTTTCCCAATAAATGTTAAGTAAGGTGTGTTGAATACATTACGGTACCTACCGTATGCAACATTATACGTATAAACAACGGTAAACTGATTAATCATTGTATTTTAGAAAMCAGTTTTGCTAAAATGTAGGCAGTGTTTAAATTAGTACTTAAATTATAGTATTACCGTACTTTCAAATACCGTGCAACTATAATAAAAAAAAAAAATCTAGACTAAAAATACCGTTAAAATTCGTTAAATTTTGTAGTCAATATTTGTTGACAATTAGCTAAGTGAATTCATTGATTGAATGAAATCTTTGCCGCACATAACATACAATATTTTGAGTTTTGTTAACAATATTTATACGAGTAGCATGTTTACTATAAATAAACTGTATCTATTATTAATTTTATAAATTAGCTAGTTAATCATATTCATAGTTGCCCAAGTAAATGCCTATACGGATTTACACCTTTTTAAACTTCGTTAGAATGTAAGCTACACATATTTTTAATACGATTATCCAAATTGTTTTAATCAAATATAAAATAAACGTTTAAAAATTATGTCAAATCATTAAAATTATAATATTTTCAGTAACGAATTGTAACAAACATAATATTACTGTTTTTCGCGAATCAGCTGTACTCAGCATTTAAGTGTTGAAAAGTAAAAAGTAAGTGATTAAAAATAGCCCATGTCTCTATTATAATTAGATCTCGCTGAATATATTGACAGATATTTTATGAAAACCTGTTGAAAACTATATATTTGAATAAGGGTCATCTGGCCGGCTTAGGCCTTTGGTTTTATATATTCAATATGTTTAATGTTTATTAATTATAACTGATCCCGTATGACATTGGCCATGACAAATTAAGTATGCCATTGAATTTACCCTCTCTTAGACTCATCTAAATGTGAGCTACACATATTTTGATCACAGTTATTTAAACAGTTTAAACCAAATATAAATAAAATATAGGTCTAAATAATTATGCACAATTAAAATAAGCATTTTATTTTATGTTACCAATGGCAACCCTATGTAAAAACAATAGAATGGGCTTCGAAATGTACATCCTTGGATATAGGATTACCTGTGTACAACATTTCAGAGACGCATAAACGTGATAGACATGGATATAGAATATAGATTGCTCTTCACCTCCTCCTCCACTTACACACACGCACACTTCGCTACACAATGCCCATTTAAATCTATATATTTAATTGCTAAGTAACAGTTTAAAACAACAGCTTTATTGATTTTTGATACTATTTTGTATATAGCTCGTAATATAACTAATGACATTCTAACATTCTAAAGTACAGACCATGTTTTTGATAGCAAATTTGAGAAGTATTGTATGGTAAACATAATATAAAATGACAAATAGTATTGATTGGATTGTATAATTAGCCACATCGTTTAAATTTAATTTAATAGCAGAGCTAAACGATCCAGTTTGAGTATCGTCTGCAGAACAGTGGTAAGTAGTGGACACAATGGTAGAGGAGGCGGTGGGAAAATTACAGAACGAGGAGCTGTTTTAGAAGATGATTATTTTCACAAAAAAGTAAATAATKATATGGTTATATCGTATGTATAGAACAGATAAATGAAAATATTGCAAAAATATAATATACATTTTTAGGATAAAATACTAATAGAAAAGCTATTAGAATACATGGAAAAACGCGAAAAAACAAATCAAATAGACAGTTGGAATAATAAAATTAATGAAAAAAAAAAATAACGGAAAACCCGAAGAAACTTAGCGCTATTGACAAAACATATTTGTATACTCGTATTATACTATACATGTAGATATTTAATTTTTATAATTAAAAAATATATATATATATATAATTTTATTGATACTTACTGAAAGTCTACCTAGATAATATTATAGTGATAGTTACGACGGTTTTAGAGTAGTAGTATAGGCAGGGCTTGTCTGGCATGTGCCATGTGGCTGAAATAATTATGAGTACCTACCTATATAATCTAATATAATGATATTAGTTTAGTATTTCATGGATGTAATATTTCTTTTTTCTCTTTCTTTTAGGTTTCTTAAACGTTAAGACTTAATGGACTGAATTAGATTATCAAAACAACTCTATCAAAGTAACATAATGTAAAATAGTATAATAATTAATATTTTTTTAGTTTACCAAAAATTCAAAATCCACAGGAACCTAAATAAGACATTTTAGGAAATAATGTTAGAAATTCTTATTTTTTATGGTAGGTAATACTCAATAATCATTTATTTTCTTAGTTATTGAATTGGTCTAAAGTTCACATCTGTTTATTTTTTCATCGTAATCCCGATATGTATTATTTAATGCCTCAATGGTTATTTATTTTTGGGTAAGTAGTAGTAAAAAATATTCAAAAAAATGAATAAATTGTTCAATTTATTACTCTACGGTGTTGGTACAATTGAATATTTACATAATTTTTTACAAGATAAACAAGTTTTATATATTTTAAAGGGTTGTTTGCAGAAATCGTTTGTAGGTACTTCAATTGCCATTCTTCGGATTTTGTTTTATTAAATAAATAAGCATTATCATTAATCTAAAATGAAAGGCATTTCATTAGAATCAATAATGTTTTTGAAGATATAACCTAAAACAATGTTTAATAAAAATTATATTAAATTATTTAGTTGGGTATACAACAATAAATTATTAATTATTACAAAATATAAAATACTCGGTGTTATCTATAGACAAAAAATTTAATTTGCACATTGGATTAAGAAATCTATAATTTAAATAGCTACATATTTATATGAATCTCTAAAAGTATAGCATTAAAGCTCTAAAACATCAAAAATTGTTAATRGMCCATAATCAATAGTCGGAGGTACTAAAAAATGCAATAATTGAATTGTCCAAGCTAGGTATTGTGTTTGTAAAATTGGGAAAAACTATAGTTTTTATGAATGGGTTCTTTTTGTAGGAATATCTAAGGTTCTAAATTATTATTTTTTTTTTTAAAGAACAAAATTGGAACAATATTATATTTTGCTAAGAGTTAGAAGAGCTTTTTTCGTAGAAAACTTAAATGTTTTAATTYAATGAATAATACTTATTAGATAACAAATAATAAATAATTGCCATCTACAAAAAAATCCTTTTGGTGAATAGTTTGAAGAAGAAATCAACTACTATAATATTCTAACTCTTTAAGTACAATTTAAACAAGAAACACGATGTTTTTGACTAGATGAAAATAAAAATAGATTAACTTACTTTTCATAAAAAATGTTTGAACACCGATGTATTTTGTACATTTTTAAAACATTGAATTAAAATCTACTTAAAGGTAATATTAAAAATACAATATTTTTGTTATTTTAGGCAGATAATAATTAATAACAATTACTCATATAATTAAACGTTATAGATTATCATATATTAAAAACATTATAATACGCGTTTCAATTTTAGAAAAAAATTATTAAAAAAAAATTTWAAATATACAATATACGTCATTAAATGTGATAAATGATTTGCATAATTTACCGTAAACGCTAAACGGTACGCCTTTATATAATATTGTTTTGAAAAAAATTACATCATTAGTATTTCTATACTATTTTTTTAAAACATAAAATATAGTTGTTTCGGCCGTAATAAAATGTTGATTCGAAATCATTTTMATTGTTTATATAATAATATTTATACTTTTTTTTTACGTTGCAATTTAGTGTACAAAATAATATATTATTCAATATACATCGAACAACAGTGTAGGTACCTATAAAATTAAATACTTTCGGTTTTTATAGTARYTACCTATACATATACTTGATGTAGATATACGAAGTTTTTTTTATCCAAAACGAAATTAAATTAAAATGCTTTCAATTCATTATAATAAAACCGACAAGCTCATTCGGTTTTACTTATTTCTATCGATGATTTAGATGTTGTTTTATGAAACAGAACCAGAACTATAGTACCAAAGTTGTTTCTACCATTTAATTTTCTGACAATGAAAATGCATTTTAAATACAAAAAATGAATAAACCATTGTCCGTCTTATATTTATGAAGTTTTGATATTTTATATTCTAGATATGTATCATAATATTTATTCATCATATTTGAACAGTTGTGGTGGTAGGTTTGTATTGGCAGTCTGTTATTAAATAGAAATGTATGATTAGTTAAAAGCTTCGTCCTTTCTAAGTGCACACAAACTGGCAGTTTTTACGAGGATTTTTTTTTCTTGGTTTCGTAATATTATTTATTTTGTATAGGTACAACAGAATTAGATTGTTTGTTTAATTTGATTACTCCAAGGCCCAATTTCATGGTTTTATAGGTGAATACAAATAACTTAAATATGATTTTTATGTTTTTGTAATTTTTTGTATTTTCTTTTTAAAGTTTTATAAAAAAATTTCAAATTAAGTAATACGTTATTATTAATAATTATATGACTACTTATAATAGTCATACTAAAATAAGTATTTTCGTATATCACGCACTCCTGTCCAAACTTGTTGACATTCTAGTTAATATTATTTTTATGATAGCTGTTTTCAAT